TTCCGGATTATCGGGGAGTCGAGTGGCCTCGTGCCGTTTCCAGGTCTTAGCCTGGGGACCAGGGGGGAGTACACTCTTGTGCACGAGGAGCATGAGTCATACTCCGCCTGTTGGCAGCTGTTCCCCAAAACCGTTATATAATTACAAGATAATGAGATTCATCAAGAAGAAAAAAAAAAAAACCGCGAGATCCGCGGAAAAAACCGCGGGATCCGCGACACCGATCTGCTAAATTCTTACACACTACCGGGGGCTTCGCGGAGAGTAATTATTACAGCAACAAAAAAAATAATAATGGATAGAGTGATTGTTCAGAGGCTCACCGTTGGGGGGAAAGGATTATAAAAAGGGGAACTTCGTTGGGGCAGGGGATAAATGTACGGGTACTCACAATGTTAGCGGCCAATACTCGACCGAGAACCCTCAACTCTTTGCTTCTGGACTTTTCCTCTTTCCTTCCTTCTCCAGACTTCTCCACTCCTGGGTCTCCACGCTAGTCTAAATCTCCAACACAATGAAATTCTCCTCCGAACAATCTCTTTTCCAAAAACACTACTGGTCACGGGGCAGCTGTATCACAAGTGATGACTGCCAGTTATCTTCACACCTTCTTCCCTGATTATTGGTCATAATGGGGGTTACTCGGGGGTACTCGTCATCGAGTGTCCTTTTCTTCTTAGTTATTTCTTGAGGGTCAGTTGAGGGATGTCTCTTTCTTTTCCGGGTCACGTGGTGTCCAGTCTCTTCGTGGGGGGTTTTCTCCTTTTAGCCAGTCTGCGATGAGGGCGGCGTTGAGGGGAAACGGGGGGGGGGGGTTTCTTCTTCATCGTTGTCGTCCTTTTCCACGGTTGATGTGAGTACCGCGGCGAGGGGAAATGGGGTAGGGGGAAGGAGTATCTCGGGAATGGGTTATCCAACGGTGGCAAAAGAGAGTAACTTAAACATAACTTAGCCTAGGAAAAATAATAAGTATTAATTAGGGGGGGGGGGGGGGGGGGGGTGCAAAATTCTGCCTCGTCACAGTCGCCCCACGTCCCACGTCGGGCGCCATTTGTGACCTTGGCCAGAGAATTAAAATATAATAATTCCCGGCGAAGGCACGATATTGGGGAATTTTACGATAATCTCAAAAATGAAAGGGAAATTTATTATAATTTATGGGAGGACCTGAAATAATAAGAGGGAGGGGGATTCTCAATAATTACTCGGGGGGATTTATAAATTGACTATCTGTATTCTACTCTTTTTACAAACTATTACATCAAAATAATCCGGGCCTTTTAACTAATATAACTCGAGGGTGGGGGGTAAGGCCAACTCACTTGGTATTAAGGTTTAGGTTAAGGTTAGGTTAAGGTTAAGGTTAAATTTACTATGGGACAAGTTTGCACAAAGGAATAATTTGAATAAGAAGTGCTCCACTCACATCTCTTTAACCCTCAGAAGGAAGTCACTGGCTGTGTATTTCTGAATGATAAAG